AACCATTTTGTGACATTAAAATTAAGCAAATCACTGAAAGAAACAGATACACAACTTAAAGGTATCATTTTATAATTTTATAAATGTCCAAAGTGTTGGCTAATGTGTGTCTGAATATGAAAAACTTGATCAGCAAGGGAACCTACACTGTTTTTTAAAGTTTGAGTTTTTGTCGTCTGTTTTTCTCCTATCTATGGGCTACAGAGCATTTATTTATCTTGAAAGACCCAGCTTGCCTTGTCATGTTCTTTCTGAAACCCTTTCTGACACACCTGTTATCAAGTCAAACTGATCACTCTCCTTTTTGGTGTGGGTTCACTGCACCTCAAAAGATTTCACCTTAGTAACACTTTTTATTTTACTAATGTTTTTGTAGAGGGTAATCAGGTCATTGAATGGTTGATGACAAGAAAGTTAATTCCTAAGTCTCTGCCATGTGTCATGTGGGGATGAGTCAAAGAGGAATAAGTCGAGGGTGGGTCATTTATTAATACTTGCCTTGTCTAGTGAGGCGCTGGGTTTGGTCCCTGGCACTGCAAAACTCAAACAAACAAAAGCCAAAGGGGAATAAGATGAAACCTTGTTTTTGGATAGCTCATAGTCTCCGGAGAAAATGTCCTCATTGAAAGCAGAATATTCAGTTAAGGCTCAGAGCACTGTGCAGGGGATTATGGAAGCTCTAGGAAGGAACACTTAGCACTTGAGTAGGGTGTTTTGTTCAGAAAAAGACCAGAAAGTCTACTTGGAAAAGATTTTACTTGCTAGGTAATTTTTGAAGTCCTCAATATAAGGATCTCAAACATTATAACATTATCTGCTGTCATTTTGGTGCTGCAGAGGTCTAGGGCCCTCGCCATTGCTGGTTTTAGAAGTGGAGAGGTGGAGCTCATGTTTACTTAGAAGAAAGGGGAATTTCTGTAGATAAAAGTTTTTTCACTGGCAAGGTTTTCAGGATCAATTTTAGGACTGAGGCTTTAAGAAATTTGCAAGTTGAAGGTAAGGCATTTCTTTATACCTTATGATTCTACATTTTATAATAATACATACTGTCTACTGTCCTGTTGTTCATTGATATGCTCGAGCGGACAAGAGTAATGTCTCATAACAAATTGTGAGACTTTTTGTTACTGTTTTTGGCATATTAAATATGGCATGGGTAGCTTGCCAGGCTTTGCCGTGCGGGCGAGATACTCTCGGTAGCTTGCCAGGCTCTCTGAGAGGAGGGAAGGAATTGAACCCAATAATAATACATAATAAAATTAAAATATAAACATAAGCAATGATACAAATTGTATGATTGCAACATATAAATATATAATTATGAAATTATATATTTCAGTGATTTTATAAAACCATAAGGAATTTGTAAGTTGGAGGTAAGTTGTTTCATAATACATGTTCCCTGCAGAGAGGGACTTTTACTTATAAGAAACAGATATGCAAAAAGGAGTCAGAGAGATAGTACAGCGAGTAAGGCGCTTGTCTTTCATGCAGCTGACCCAGGTTCTATCCCTGGCACCACATAGTTCCTGAGATCATGCCAGGGGTGTAAGTCAGGAGTAAGCTCTGAGCACAGCTGTGTGTGCCCCAAATACGGCTCCCTTCCCAACCCATAAAAAGTTTCTAATTTGGTAGGAATTATTTGTCAAACTATTAGTACTATCGTTAAGATATTTCCATAACATAAGGTGCATACAGGAAGCATATCATAATTACTTATGCCTATCTGGGACCAAAACTCATCCATACAATGAAAAAGATTTTGGAAAGGTAGGAAAAGGTTGTGAAAAGGAGGAGAGTTGAGTAGGTATAAGTGAATTGCTGGGAAGTAGTCTTATTATCTTTGTTTCTTTGATATCTAGAATAGTTTTTCCCTTTCCAGGAATTTATATGTTTTTCCAAGCATAAAATAGCAATTATCGATATATCAGTTTTAATAGTTGTTTTATTGATGTAGGTTGGCTTAAGTTATGCAAACTCAGAAAGTGGGGAATATAAAATTAATTTAAGAATCAAAGTGCTAGGTTGAAATAAATTAACAATCTATATAGAGATATATGGAATAGCTATGGACATAATATAGAACATGTATATTTTTAGATTATCTTATTATAGATTTAGGTGTACTTGTTCTATTTTGTAAATCAAAGAATTGGCCTATATTTTTGATCTGTGTGTTTAGACTTTATGGTGACAGACATCCTTATAATAACTAGAAATAGAAATTCCATCTTTAGTGATAATATAGTACAGGGATCTGAGAAGAGAAGGTCTTAAGGTGCTGTTAATTAGCAGAAATCTGAATCACAGAGTCTCAAAGCAATTAAGGCTGCTAATTGAATATTTAGATGCATCGTAGAATAGCTCATATGTTACTGGACAGGGTAATTTCAGTTTTACATTATACACATGATGCTAAAAATTCAAAAAAAACATGGGTAAATATTTGGTTGCCTAGTAGTTAAATGCATTTATGAATGATGAGACATTGTTTGGTATATGCAAAATTGCCTATTAGCTACAAAACTCAATATTAACAACTTAATCTTTCAGATTGTGTGTTTTAAATATGGTACTCTATTTACTTATGGAAAGTCAAGTGATTTTCCTATTTTCTGGTTTGGTAATTATCTTTATAATCCATGGAATACATCATTTGTTTTGGGTTTTGGGGCCACATCTGGTGGTGTTCACATTTCTGTGCTCAGGGACCAGTCTGGTGGTGCTCAGGGGACTACATGTGATGCAGTGGGTAGAACTGAGATTGACTGCATGCAAAGAAAGTGCCTTAACCCCCTGTACTGTCTTTCCATTCCCTATTCATGTCATCCTTTAAATGCAATTGTTTACACAATGGGCAAGGTACAGAATCAACCCATGATTTGGGGTAGAGGGGCAAGTACATGGCAGCTGAATCCAGGTTGGCAGTACATTTTTATTGTTGAGTTCCTCCAGGAGATGCATTGGCTGGAGCACTTGATTAATGCATAAGCATACTTATGAAAAGAAAGCTGAACAATGGTACAATGGGTTGGGTGCTTGCCTTGCATGTAGCCAACTCAGAGTAGATTCTGGCACTCCATATGGTTCCTTCAGTCCCACCAGGAGTAAGCTCTGAGTATAGATGGATGTGGTCCCCCAAATGAAGCAAACAAAAAAAGAAAGCTAGGACTAGGGAGCTGAGACCACAGGGCTTTCAGCTGGTCCGAGGAGCATCACAAATAGGTCCCCAAGCACAGAAATGCTTGCCTATTAAGTATAGCTAGGAGTATCTCTACCTCTGAGAAGTTTAATAAAGACTCAATTTTGTTTTTTCTTCTTAAAATTTCAAAACAAATATTGAAGGGATAGGAAGAACAAAATGTTCCTTTATGAAGACTATCAATGGAAAATGGCTAATATTTTGGGTACTGCTTCTTATTATCACTTTTCATAGTTCAGGCTTTAGAGCAGGCTTTTGCTTCGGTCAATCTCAGGTTTACTGAGTCACAGAGGACAGATGCTATCTATGGAAGAATAACCTGGCACGAGTAAATGAAAGACTTTAGTATCTCTCAGGCTGTGTTCTGTGAACGATGGACTTGTGTTAAAAGAAATGAAAAATTACAGGCATGTTTGGAATCCACAAGTTACTCTCAAATGTAAAGCTGCCCAAAAGTTTCCAGAAAGTGACAAAATTGCATCCCTTCCACCTCTCCCTTCTCAGTTTCAATCCACTATTATAGAGAAATTTCTAATAGCTCATTAAGCAGCTTTTAAAAACTGATCGGGCAGTGAGGGCTTGGAGTACAGAACTGAAAAATACTCATTCAAAACAGCATCATCATCCTTCTATGAGGAATTGAACATTCACAACTATGTCACGATTTAAGACTGGACTGTCAAATTGCTGACATACAGCTTGTAAAAAAGTGCTAGCTTGCACACACTGTACACGGCTGAAATCTGACCTAGTTATGCAGATAGACTTTATACAAATAAAGAGTTGATCTGGCTCAGGTTTTTTTGTTTGTTTTGTTTTGTATTTTCTATTCTGGCTTGAGTTTTTGAAAGATGGATGTATGGGGGGCTGGTAGCTGTAGTCTTGAGTATTGGACAGGAGAGTTTGTTTCAGAAGTAACAATGAACCTGTGTGGATCAGAAAAGTTCCTGTTTGTTATGCAATGTGTGCATTTCATTGTTTACATGATTTCACTGGGCGATTGGGAGGTGTGTACACAGCAAGTTGTGCATGAAGCAGCACCTTGAACTCGGAAACCAAAAGCAAACAGCCTTTCTTTATTGCCTTTCACGACTTGAGCCTTTGGAATAATGTTTTTGTTTTTCTTTTCATGGCAAATTTCCCTTAGAATCTACCAACTTTTCCAGGTTAAAATAGTTTCTTTCTTCAGTGTTTTTAGGAAGTGCAAATTTTCTTGGAAACCTTTCCACGCTCATTTCCACTTTGCTCTGAACACGAAATTCAAGAGTAAATAGAGAATCAGAGAAGGAAACTTTTAATTTTGATGTGGGGTCTTACCACCCATTTTTCTATCTACCCACTCCATCCTCCCTCCCTCCCTTTCTCCTTCCTTCCTTCCTTCCTTCCTTCCTTCCTTCCTTCCTTCCTTCCTTCCTTCCTTCCTTCCTTCCTTCCTTCCTTCCTTCCTTCCTTCCTTCCTTCCTTCCCTCCCTCCTTCCCTCCTTCCCTCCTCCTCCTCCTCCTCCTCCTCCTTCTCCTCCTCCTCCTCCTCCTCCTCCTCCTCCTCCTCCTCCCTCTCTTCCTCCCTCCCTTCTTTTCTTCGTCGGTTTGGGGGAGCAGGGATTGGAGAGGTTAGGTGGGTTACAATGGGGACCCTAGCCATAGACCAGGGCGTCTTGTTCTGGACTTGGCAGTCGCTCGGACCCATAACCTCCAGTCTTTTTCCTTCTTTCCACCCCGGGCCCCGGAGCTCCTGTCGAGGGGGTGGATCCTCCTCCTGTGACACGCCCCGGACGGGTTTATAAGGCTCCTGGTCCGCGCGGCTGTAACTGTGGCCGCTCGGCGCTCGGCGGGGACTCGGGCCGGGCCCTGCGTCCGCTCCCCGCGCATCGCCCCGCGCTCCGCTCTGTGCCTCGGGCTCCCCGCCCCGCCGCCGCCCATGGCTGACCTGAGCTTCATCGAGGATTCCGTGGCCTTCCCGGAGAAGGAGGAGGATGAGGAGGAGGAAGAGGAGGGCGTGGAGTGGGGCTACGAGGAAGGTAACCGGCCCCCGCCGCGTCCCGCGCCGGGTTTCTGGAAGGTGCGGCGAGGAGCGCGCGATCCGGGGTTCGCCCGCCGCTGCGGTTCTACCTGGAGCGTGTGGGACGGTGCGTGGCACCTGCCCACATCTGGCCGGCCTGGAAGCCGTGGCTGCACTTTCTGTCTTCAGAGCAGCCGAATGGGACAGGCAGACGCTTCCCTCCACACTTCTTGTCTGCTCCCAGGACCCGGTGCTGTAGTCGCTCAGCGCCCAGACTCCGGGAATGATAGCGACGCGCGCGACTTTCTGGACGGGTCCGCAAATTCAGGCCGAGTTGCAGTGGGCTCGGCGGGGACGACTTTTCCAACAAAGTTTAATTCCCTCATTGTTATCCCGTAAGATGTAGGGGCTCTCCAGAGAGCTGGCCAGAGGAGCTGATGGTGACTGCACGTATTGAAATCATGTAATTATTAATTCATTGCTTTAGTTATTAAACCGTGGCCAAACAGGCGTTTATGCACGAATGTGTAAGTAAGCATGTGTATGCAAAGGTACGCACACATCCAAATACTGTATTCACATTTTTGAGGTGGGATGTTGATTTATTTCTAGCAGATGAATGGGTTTTGGCTGTCACCAGTGCTAGTGCGAGTGCCACACAAAACCGAACTAATGATCAGAGGAAGTTTTTGTGGTGTCATTTTTCTTTTCCTTAATCACTTAAAGGTGACCTGCACTTCCTAGCGCCAGAAATGGTCACATCTATGTGGATGAATACAAGCAGAGTACTTATTTAGTTCAGGCTTATAACGTGGATTTGGGAATAGTTAAACTATTCAAATATGAATACAAAAATTCACACAATGTATTTCTTCTGCAAAAGCACAATAGTTATAGTCTTCTTGATAATGTCAGGGATCACGAATAGTGTTTAAATTTTACTGTCATTATTTTCAACCTGTTCCAAACTTGCTTTGTTTTGTCCGTAGGTGTTGAGTGGGGCTTGGTGTTTCCTGATGCTAATGGCGAATACCAGTCTCCCATTAACCTAAACTCAAGAGAAGCTCGGTATGACCCCTCACTGCTGGATGTCCGCCTGTCACCAAACTATGTGGTCTGCCGAGATTGCGAAGTCACAAACGATGGACACACCATTCAGGTGATCCTGAAGTCAAAATCAGGTATTCTAGAAGATGCCTTTTATATGGTCTTGCAAATAAGTCATCTTGTACCTTTTAAATTCAGTTTGTATGCACTTATGGGTAAGGACTAATACAACTCTGTTGTAAGGATATCTTTTTCCATTGCATATTTTGCAGAATTATTTTGGGAAATGTTTTGAAAGGATAAAATGATGACATGATATGATATAAGTCTTAATTGTTCTACTTTGTGTAGAAATACTTCTTTGTGTAGAACCACTGGAACTACTTCAGATAGTCAACACTGGAATTTGAAGAGAGATATATGGAGGTGCCATCAAATCTACATTTTATTGCAAATTCTTTTACTGCTTTTTAAACTACTGAGGGGGATGTATTGCTCTAATCTGGCTTCTCAGATAGAGTTTATAGATTAATTTTATTCACTGGATTAATGTGAGCAGAAGAGTTTTTGTCTGTTTGGGCCACACCTGGTTATGCTCAGGGCTTACTCCTGGTTTTGCACTAAAGGATCACTTCTGGCAGCTTTGGGGGACCAAGTGGGGTGCCAGGGATCAAACTGGGTCAGCTGCATGCAAGGCAAGACTGTAATATCTCGTCCCCAGCACAATTTTTGTTGTTCCTCCCAATCATGGCTCAGGAGGTTGGGGCCGCTTTGTACTATACTTGGTGAACTAGCAGGAGGTTCAGTATTTGGGCCTGGCATCGAAGTCCTCGATAGTGCTTAATGGCCACCAGGCCACACATGGTGGTGTTCAAGTTGCTAGCTAGGACTTGGGATCAAATTCAGTTCAGTTCTTTGAGTTGAATGGGAAGAATTGTAACTAATAAGAACAATAAATAGACCATTAAAACTCAGCTATATATATATTTTCCTGTCTTTTGGTTCTGGTGATGGACAGTTTTTTTCAAGTAATATGGCATTATTACATAGTTTCAAGTGTGCATTTTAATAAAGCATTAAATATATAAACTATATGAATCTCACCACTAAAAAAGTTCAGTTCTAAAAAATAGGGAAATAAATGTTCAAGACAATCCTTTACCATCTAGCTGAACTTTTAGTACCCTATTGACCTACCTTCTTCTCCGTTTCTCTTCTGTTAGCTATTAAATAGGTCTTATAATATAAAAGTTTTAATGCTATTTAGCTCATCTGGTTGCCAGTAAGAAAATTAAAAGCCAAACAAACATGTTCTTTTATTTATTCTTAAGGTTTTTATTTTCCCTTCTGAATCTGTTTGAAATAAGTCTGAAATAACTTGTCATAAAGTCTGGGTGTAATTACCAAAGAAAGTTGTTTTTGGCTTAAATGTAGAGGAATTAAAGCAGAATTAAAAAAATTAACCTTAGTATGTTTTTTATTGTCAGTAGCAACTGTATTTACCCCTTGGAAAGAACATATAATAAGAATATATTAAAATGTGATTAATAGACAGTACTCAAATTAATTCTAAATAGATATGTTTTGTACTTCAAATGATGTAATGTTTAACTTTATATTTGGCAGGGAAATTATTGAATTTTTATTAATTGTAAATGTTCCTAAACTTTAATTTAGTTTAGTCAAGCTATGTGTATCCCCCCAAAAAGGTTCTAGATATTATTCATGTTTAGTGTCAGAAAATTTTTAGAGTAAATTTGAACTTCAATCAGAATTTTTTATGGGAGTATTATCTGTGATGGGACTTTATGCAATGATTTCTAAACACACAAAATATTTAACATACTGGTAGATAAAATACTTCAAGATAATATTACATGCTGGTGTGTTGCGATGTCTTAGCACTTCTGGAAATAAATATTTATACACCTATACAGCAAAAATGTATTTCACATTATGCACCATGTAAGTATTGTCTACATAAAATGGATACAATGGATTTTGAGGATTTAATAGTGAGTACAATGGTTTTCAACTTTTTTTTTTAAATGGGTTTTGGGCAACACCTGGTGTTGCTGCAGACTCACTCCCAGCATGGTCTCAGTGCCTGTGGTCGCTCCTGTGCTTCTTGGGGGACCATGAGGTGCCAGGGATAGAGTGCAGTCCTCCTGCATGCACGTTCATTTTCCCGCTCTCTGAGTCCCTAGACCATGTTTGCACCTGTGGCCTTGTGTCAGTTTGCACACTGGTCTGCGGGCTGGTGAATGATAACAGTGTTGGTAGAGCGCTTAGTACTTTGTGATTTTATTAGTGTAAATATGAATGCCAGTGCTCAGAAGTGTTATAGAAACATAGACGACAGCTAAGTGAAAATGCTGTCTCTTAAGACATGGTGTGTTTTATGCCCACATAAAAATCCCATAGAGTCCTGCTCTAAGATCAAATTCATCGGATCAAATTGAACCCAACAGTCTGTTCTGGTGCCTTTGCAGACAAACATTACAGTTTTCTTTACCTCGCCTCTGAATAGTGTCAGGCAGTGTTTTCACTCTCTATGAGAGGAATGTCTGTATATTAGTGCTTTTATATAAACTTTTAAATATACTTTTCTCCTTTCTTCCAGTTTTTTCTCTTCCTCCATTCTCCCCTCTCATAGGAACACAAAGGAAAATTTGTTTTTCTGTCTAGGTTTAATTTTGGGACTTGAACTTCTGACTCCTTATTCGTGCTCCGTGGATCTGCTCCTTCAATATCTTTTCTCCTTTCTGCCACTACAGTAATTTCTTTTTCACTTTTTCCCTTTGACTATGTCTCCAAACTTAAAGAGACTATCAGAAAAGTAAGATTATTATTATGTACCAACCAGTTTATTTTTCTTTAAGAGTTAAACTTATTAAATGAATGGGTCTGTGAGCCCTGAATAGCTGTCTATTCATTTATTAAGTCCTACTTTGATCTCTAGCAGAATAGGACAACAGAAAAGCTGGCTACTGGAATAGTATTCTATTGCTTTGTGCCTCTGGTCATATTCAACCCTTCCCATCTAAACTCCTTTTTTTGGTGGGAGCTACTTTCTTTTTTTTAAAATTATTTTATTTTATTCAATTTTTAATAGTGAGACATCATGAGGTACAGTTACAGACTTACACATTTTTGTGCTTGGGTTTCAATTGTACAATGATCAAATACCCATCCCTCCACCGGTGCCCATTTCCCACCACCACGGGTCCCAGTATCCCTCCCACCCCTCACCCCCCCCACCCCACCCTGCCTCTGTGGCAGGGCATTCCCTTTTGTTCTCTCTCTCTTATTGGGTGTTGTGGTTTGCAAAAGAGGCAATGGGTGACAATCATGTTTGATCTATAGTCTACTTTCAGCATGCTTCTCCCATCCTGGGAGGATCCTCCCAACACCTTTATTTGGTGTTCCCTTCTCTGTGTGAGCTCCCTTTTCCCCTATCATGTGTGGTTGGCCTCCAAGCCATGGAGTAAAATTCCTGGTACTAATCTCGGCCATTCTTGGGTGTTAGTCTCCTATTTTGTTACTTTATGTTCCCCAGATGAATGCAATCTTTTTATGTCTATCCCTTTCTTTTTGAGTCATTTTGCTTAACATGATACTTTCCATGTAGTACCACTTGTATGTAAATTTCGTGACTATGTCTTTTCTAACAGCTACATAGTACTCCATTGTGTAAATGTACCAAAGTTTCTTTAACCAGTCATCTATTCTCGGGCACTCAGGTTTTTTCCAGATTCTGGCTATTGTAAAGAGTGCTGCAATAAACAGACAATTGCAGAAGTCACTTCGACTATACTTTTTTGCCTCTCTGGGATATATTCCCAGGAGCTGGATCAAATGGGAGCTCAGTTTCTAATTTTTTGAGAATCATCCATACTGTTTTCCAAAAGAGTTGAACCAGTCGGCATTAGGTGGGAGCTACTTTCAAAACTGAGCTCTCCCTCCATCTCCTCCCCTCCTTTTTTGGGGGGGAGGGAGGGTCACACCTGGTGATGCACAAGGTCTACTCCTGACTCACGCACTCAGGAATTACTCCTGGTGGTGCTCGGGTGGACCATACGGGATGCTGGGAATCAAACCCGGATCAGCTGCATGCAAGACAAACGCTCTACCAGCTGTGCTATCACTCTAGCCCATCCCTCCCTTTTTCTTAGTGTCTGTTTATATCGGGATCTGCCTTTCAAGGAAGATGAGGCAGTTTTTAGACTCCCCTACTTCCCCTCATGATTTCGCTCCCCTGTGGTCTTGGTATACTTAAGTTACTATTTAATTTGAATAAATACTATATATTTTTTATTATTACGACTTTATAAATGCTGTTTCCAGCTGAGAATATATTCAATTTCTTTTATTGAACAATGCAGTGTTCCCCACCTCCTGGAGTTAATGCATTTCTGCTTATTTAGTATTTTATTGATCTAATATGATTTCATTTCCAAACTGACATATGGCATATGTCCTCCCAGGACTGTCAGATACACAGGGAGTCCTTCCTTTCCTCCTCTCTGTCTTTCCCCCCACCCCTTGGAAGCCTTCTCTTCCCTGATTCTGCTACGATCATTGCTCTGGAGGCCCAAGTGTGCTTGTTGCCTGCAAGTCCCTAGGCCTTGAGCCTAGGAAAATGCTTTTGCCCTTTGTTCAGTCTCCTGCATCCAATTATATATTTTATAGATTGCCTCTTCTTGTGGGCTTGTTCCCTCATATCAGAGGATTCCTTGATTTCTAGCCTCCTACAGTTCCTCTTCCTGAGAAGGGAATGTAAGTATCAATATTTGGATAGATCCTGTGCCGCGTATGCCTTCCTTCAGCATACCTCACACTGCACCAGAGTTTGCCTGGGCAGTGCAGTTCAGACTGGAAGTTCTTTCTCAGATATTGGATTGTCATTGCTACATTACTTCTGGTTTTCATTTAAGTATTTTATTGAATCACCATGAGATGCAGTTCCAAAGCTTTCATGAGTTTCAGTCATTCAGTGGTCGAACACCCATCCCTCCACCAGTGTACATTTCCCACCACCACTGTCCCCATTATCCCTCCTGCCACCCCTACCCAAACCCACCCCTGCCTCTGTGGCAGACAATTTCCTTCTTATTCTCTCTCTCCTTTTGGG